TAGAAATATTTAAGAAGAAACTAAAATCATTTCTATTTTCATCATATTTCGATTAGACAGAATCCATCCAAGCTGTAGATCGTTGTGAGTTTGTATGTGCGTATGTGCATATGTACGTATGTGTGTATGTGTGTATGTATTTTTATGTGGTGCGTGCGTGAGTGAATATGTCTTTGCACGAGTATGTAACACTATGTACCTTTAAAATTGGATTGTAAATCCATAATATTATCATGTTAAGCGCATAGAGCATTGCATAAGTGGATATGCGCTATATAAATGCAATCCATTATTATTATTAATCTACAGATTTAAAAAGGGTATATCCCATGAGCTGGAACAATAGTATTGCTTGTAAAAGCAAGTCCGTCTCCTTTGCTCTAACATGACACTACGCTTATTGAACGCATGTATTGAAAACTTTAGAGCATAACAAGTATCTAGATTTTCTTTTCTTTTGCCCAAAGAGCTTATAAATAGTAGCTATTTATTACCTCTTTGGTTTTGACCCTTTAGAGTGTATTTGGTTAGCAGTGCGTATGCAAAATGTGTGAGAACGGGAAGTACTGCGAACACTCCCATTTTTCGTATGACGGAGATTTGTAGCTTTTTGTATAGATTTATGAAGAAAGGCTCTGTAATCTAGCCCCAATTGTGGTGGAAAGAATAATGATAAGTTAAGACAAATTAATACAAACTTCCGAGCAAAGTGTGGGGTAATACTGATTCAGCCGTCCAAAGATATTTGACGATAAGTTCCGCCATGATTGGGACTAGATTACAAAGCCTTTCTTCATAAATCTATACAAAACGCTACAAATCCGCACTATGATAATGTAATATGTTCGTGACCCTTTTTCAGCACGGTGGGAGTCTAAACCCATTTATACATTTACTCTAGCAAACAGAAGACAATTCCTCTTTCGAACACACTCAACTACATTCTGTCATCTAAGCCTTCGGTATTACAAACGTCCCTGTAACAACGCTCCTACATATTGAATCTATTTACATGAAATAAATACGAAACATAGAAGAAAGAAATGATCCAAGCATAAATACATCATACAGTTTGATGATAGCTGATACGATGGATTTGCTGAGCTTTGGTAGATTGTTGTTATTAGTGTAAGACTGTATACAACAAAGTGGGGGCTCTCGTGGCCTTGAGGTTAAGTTGTTCGCCTCTCTTTCAATAGGTTCGGAAATTTTTCTTCTTTAAATTGTCTCCTTTCACCTCATTCCCTGCTCTATGGCAATGTTCTGTCGTCTGCTTTCGATTCCACTTTCTCCCCTCCCCCCCAAACCTCCTTTGCCCCCCCCCCCCCCCCTCTTGGCTCTTGACTCTTTCTGCAGTCTTTCTTTCCACTACTCCTTGGCTCCTGCTTACTGCTGTCTTTCAGCCATACCCCCTGATCTTATGGTAGGAAAAATCTACCCCTAGCCTTCTAAGAATAAGGCGAAAAATCTCGGAGGTCCCGTATGCAAGTTGAGCACGTTAAAGATCTCTTGGTGGTCTAGAATCGATAAGAGTAGGCTTCGGCCGCCACCCGGGGAAATTCAGAATTTCCTACCAAGTGAAAATGTTTAATGTGTTCCGCGCGCTCATAATGACCTTAGCTGTGCCTGCAGAATTATACAAATTTAAATGGCCAAATTATGCAAGACAAATGCAAATATTATTCAAAATTTAAGCAAGTTACCGTAACAGAAGAACTGAAAACAGAACTTATCAGTATCAGTAGTTTTTTGTGTATTTGAAAAGATACACATCAGTCAGAAAAAAACATCAACCAAAAAATATAATCTCTCTAATTTTCAGCTGTATAGAGGAAAGAAAAATGTTTAGAAAATATTTTTAAAAAACAAAAAACATCTGGACCTCTGATGTTGGCACATCACTAAAACCTAAAAGCAGGGACACCTGGCAAACATGAACCATCAGCAGACATGAGAACAACTTTTGATGGACTGAAAAATTGAACAAACCCAAGGAACAAAAATCACTAACAAGGGAAATAACCAGCCTGTCACATAAATG